CATTGGGCCGCACATAAATATCAAACCGGGCCCAGTTTAGTAATTTGGCCATAACTTCCTCATTATTCATCGGAATTGGGCTTATAATACATCGTTGGAAAGCTCTTTTCGAACCCAACCCAACTACGCTATTATTGGACCCTTGCCATACCCCAAACCAAACTGGATTATTTGTTTCCTTAAAATAGATTTTCAAAAACAGAGAGAAAGAAAAGAAATAAAAACTAACCGCAACAGTAGACTTTTCACACTTTCACCTCATTCAATTATGATTCGACATGAAAGTTACTCATCACTGGGTTTGGTTTTGGGGAGACACAAATGGGTTTCAAGAGACAAAGAAAACAAGGAATGAAAGACTTTCCTATCAATCCCCTTAATGTTCATTATCGTTTCAAAGGCCCTTATGTGAAGATAAGGATTATCTGTTGCCTTGAAATTAGGGATGTTAGTGGCATTGAACTTCTGCGGAAGAAGCTCCTTGTCCACTGAGACCCCTTGTGAACTAATGCCTTGGAACTTGTAGTCACTGGATAGCTTGCTCAAGCTTTCTTGCATGAGCTCCATTTGTTGTTGCTTCACAGGGTCATTGATTTGAAGGGTTAAAGTCTTCAACACCTCGGTTACATTAGTCAATTGATTCCTAAGTTCGTTGACTTCTTCTTGACTTGCCATTATCTTTTTTGCTTTTTTCTTTTGGCGAATCGGTTTATCAAAAAGTAAGACTTGAACAAAGAGGTTATCCTTGATTAATCGCCCTTCTCTCCTCGACCAAGTGCTGTGGAAAGGGAAATTAGGAATATCGACTGTTAATTATTTGACTCAAACTCTATTCAACATGCAAGGATGGAAGAAGATAGGAAGAATGAAGGTTGTGATATGGAGAAAGCATGTAGAGTATGGAAAGATGACGTAGATGGAGGGATCAATAAATTAGGAATAGAATGTACCCCCAACTCAAATGACGGAAAAAACCGACTCATGCATGAACCTAAGACATGGTCATGGCGTGGACTCACGTACGAAGTGTGTGCTAAGACTAGTGAGTGTATGTGACATGCTAAGACTCTTGTGTAAGACCATGTGGCTAGACTATGTGACTAGACTCAATTAAGGACTTAACGAAGGTATTGTTACTAACAAAATAATCGAATTGATGAGCAAACTATTTAATTAGACTCATAATGATGACTCAAGCAAAATATCGAACTGTCGCCAAAGCAACAGGACCGGTGCCGCACTTTGAAGTGTAGCGCCAGACGACAGATCTGTCGCCAAGAACTGCACAACACAGTGTGGCGCTGCAGTCCAAATCTTGGCGCCATTGTTGGAACGTTGATCTGGGACTGCTTTCAGTATTATTACTCTACAGGACATGTCTAAAGTCGTACTAAGTCAGTTCCGATTAAATTATTAGACTTTAATTACTCTAATTAATTAATTAATTAGGCAAAGTCTTTTTGGACATTAATTAGTTTATTAAGACTTATTTACAAACACCAGTCAAACCAAACGGTTAGTTTAGTCACATATAAGTATTCACAAGTAAGAGATGCACAAGTAGTCAAGTAGTCACAACATGATGCAATGAGTTTGCAACCTAAGCATGGCTCTAGTTCTCTAAAGTTTGGGATATGGGTTAGTCAAAGAGGGTCCATGATTAATTGTCCGGATGCACCGCGTGGAAGCCTTACCTTTTGAAGGGTTGGCGCGAGTGGACGGGACACCGCGAGTTAAAAACTCGCTTCCATGGTTGGGTGAATTCAACATTCTCGGATGTACCCTTTGTTGCACAGAGCGTTCAATCAGGTAGGTGGAGCATGAATTCCCATAGGGTTATGTCCATATGTATAACACATATGGGTTTTAAAAAAGTGAGAAAAACTCAATAAGGAAGAAGGATCGATCAAACAGTGATAAAAAACTGGTCAAAATGAGAACGCATATTTCTGGCTCGGTATTGGAAGAACTTGGCGCCAGCGAACAGAGGTCGGCGCCGCGATTTGGCTTTGGCGCCTGGCGACAAGAGTGTCGCCTGACGCAAGGGTCAAATCCTCGGCGCTAGACTCTGTTTTCTGATGCTGGTTCCTACATCCCTTGGCAGGTTTCTGTGCTCGATAAAATTTTTCAGTTTCACGCAGCATTATTTCAATCCTAGTTGTGAAAGATATTCCACAAATTTCCTACGTGTAAAAATCCTATGTTTTTAACTCATTACGGATGGTCTTTCCAATGAGATCTTTTTTATGCATATGACAATAAAGCTAATCAAAATTACGCACATGAAATACTTAGAACTTTTCAAGTCTCATCCACTCATTCTAAATCCTCTCCAGTAGAGTCGCCAAAAACTTTAGGGAATAATTCAAGCAATACCCAAAACTTGAACCCCACTGTGATCATACACTAAAGTATGGTGGCGTCCAAAGGGAAGGAAGCTACAGCAAAAGAGTCGCCAACAAGTTTTAGGAACTTGTAAACCGTTCATGAGGTGAAGGTTACACCCCTTAACGATCCAGGAGATCGTCAACTCCAATAGGTCTGGAACCATGACTGGTAGTTCGGGGATGAAGGTACAAATCCAACCAAAAAGAGATTGAACCTGCCTTAATAATAGACCTCTACTTTATTCTGATCGTACTTATGTGTGCTTTCTAACTAATATGCAATCATTAGGTTTACCCTAAACCTGTTTATCTATGTTCGTTGAATATTAATGCACAAATAAATCTATTATTGGAGATCACTTGAATTATAATTATATTAACTCTAAACAAGATTATTAATTATCTTATGAAGTGTGATTACAAGTGCAAGTTCCCTATAAATATGCATAAAAGGTGTGACCAAGCAATAACAATAAATATATATCAAGCAACATAATATAACAATAATAATAATCAAAACTATAATCATCATAACAATAAAAATCATAACAATAATAATCATCATTAAAATAATCATGTTAAAACATAAAAATAACAAGATCCTAGGCATGATACTAACAAGATTAATAACAAACCCTAGCATGTCACTAAACATAAAAATCAAAGCTTTAAACCTAACATGATACTAGCATGAATATTAGGAAAGAAAATAGGAAGTGTCGCTGGAATCATAATTGATTTATATTTGATATTAGAAATTATAGTTGTTACCCTAAACATAATACTAGGAAGATCAAAACATCCTAAACATGACACTAGGAATCATAATAACAATCTAGACATGATTTATATATCATAATATCAACAAATCAATTAAAGCACTTACTTGGATGCCTCGTATCTCTTTCTAATAACAAAATACACGCGTTATTAACTTCAAGGAAAATAATAAAATTACACAATTAAATTAAGTAATTGAAATAGAAATTTGGGACCAAACCCTTAGAAATCAAACCCTTTCACGTCTAGGGCAAAGGCAACTTCGAATTTGGTTAGGTGTTTCTTGGTCTTGTGAATGCGGAATTTTGTATGCAAAAGGCTAGTTTAGAAAAGAGAGAGAGAGAATAATCAAGAAATCTTTGATGAGAATTGGTGATAGAGAGAATTGATGAGAAGAATTGATGATTCAAAACGGAGGTATTAGGAGGCTATTTATAGAGAAAATCAACCAGATATGAAAAAAAATGAAACAGAGTTTCGAAAAGAATAAAACAACGTGGCGCCAAACGCTTGACTCTTGCGCCAGACACCAGGTCTAGCACCACACGCCAAGCATGGCGCCAGGCGCTGGTCCTGTCGTCCGATGCTAGAAACAAATTTTCACGCGTTTTCTTAATTTGATAAAATTTAGCCGTACGAGAGGGCAAAATCGTATTTTCCTTAAAAACACTTCTTTTATTCTGATTAAAACTCTAAAAAGTCAACTAAAGTCAATTTATCAATGCTAATTAAATTAGGAATGAGAAGAACCTTATAGAAGATTCTAGAAGACTATAATCAATTCTAATCGCGTTAGGAATGATAAATCAATATTAGGCCCTCCTCTAAATCATTGGGCCGCACATAAATATCAAATTGGGCCCAGTTTAGTAATTTGGCCATAACTTCCTCATTATTCATCGGAATTGGGTTTAGAATATATTGTTGGAAAGTTCTTTTCGAACCCGACCCAACTACACTATTATTGGACCCTTGCCATGGACCAAACCAAACTGGATTGGCTGTTTCCTTAAAATAGATTTTCAAAACAGAGAAAGAAAAGAAATAAAAACTAACCGCAAACTAGACTTTCCACACTTTCACCTCATTCGATTATGATTCGACGTGAAAGGTACTCATCACTGGGTTTGATTTTGGGGAGACACAAATGGGTGTCTACACTACCTTTTCCAACCTTATTAGCACAAGGCATTCATTTTCATTTTCACCCAATGCACTTTTCTAATAAAGAAGGCTTTGGATGAACTAAACTTAACTCAGAGCAATTAGCATATGAGAGACAGGTCCAAACTCAAAAATGAGAATTTCTGGTAACAAAGAATTGAAGTATCTCTTACGCAACAACATAATTGAAGTATGATAACCTGTTTAACATGTGGAATCTGATAAACTTGATATATACTAGAGTGATACATGGATAGAACCATAACATAGATTATGTGAGATGACAACAAATTTGTGTTGAGATTAACTTAAACAATAATTAGAAAACAAGTGTATTTAATCTGGTGGTACAAATTTATAGTCTAAGGGATTATATTAATAAGTTAACCTGAAACATTTTTCACATAATTTGCAGACAACTATTGTAAAGTGACATATAGAAATGTCCTACATTTTTCACAGAATTAGTATTTTGTAAACCCAAATCATGTAATTAGAGCATATGTAGGCAACATAAGGTAACTTTTATATTATCCCCAATATAGGTTGAAATCATCACAGAAATTCATGTTTATTCAAGCAGAAAGCTTCAATTTGTTTCATTCAATTAATTATAATGAATGGTAAGTTAGGCAACCCTCTGAATGCTAGAACATTCTCTCTTAGCAGCAAAAGTCTCAGGAACTAATACATGGAAAGCGATAGTGGCGTCACAATGCACCTGGTTGCAAGAGAATGCAAGCATCAGATGTGCCCAATTTATAGGACATTGGCTACAATTGAAGAGAAACCTGAGCACAGCTAGCAGGTAAAGGAAACACGTTAATGTTTCTTAGATTAGCTTTATTTAGTACCGTAATAATAATAAGTAAACGATAGTGATGCTATTAAACAATTCTAACCCACTTGACAAGAGAAGGAACTTAAGTACTACAATCTGCTATCAAACTAATAAAATAAAATCAAAATAAATTCATCAATGGAATAAAAACCTACAACAACTTTTAACATGAAACAATTACTTTAAAATGAAATTGGTTTACTTTAACTTAGTTTGTATCTACTTTTGACCACCATCAACAAATTAAACATCTATATAGTTTCTCATAGGAATTTCATCAAACAGTTGATATGCAAACTAATAAATTTAAATGCAAGGGTTTTCAGATCAAGGTGTTTAGGAACTTTAACAACAAAATCGATTGCTATAATCAGTCGTAACCTCATAATTATGAAATAAAAGTTCAAATTTCACAATAAAAAACCCTAAATTGATGATACTAGCAATAAAATTAAAGATAATCCAATGATAATGAAATTGAATTTCGTTAATTTAAAGAAGATAAAAAAAACATATTACGCCAGAAGCTGCTTCAATGGAGTGTAAAAGGCTCGAAAATCACTTCAAAGGAGTAGAGAAAGCTTGAAAATTGCTTCAATGGATATTTGGAGCACTAGCTTCAATGGAGGACAGAGTACCAGTCGCGTGATTCTAAAAACTAAAATAATCTGATCCGCCCGTTTTTTTTATTTCTATGGCTGTGATGAGTTCCTAGTTCCTATTATTCACCCAGTTCTCAATATAACTTGGTCCTATGTATACGTATACATATACAAATGAATCAAATGAAGGTCAATCACATTCAAACAAAGCTTTTTGAATCAAATGAAAGTCAAATGCATTCAAAAAAGCTAATTGAATTAAATAAAAGCAAAACACATTTATTTACTTACAAAAAGAAAACAAAAAAAAAAGAATCAAATGAAGGTCAATCACATTCAAACAAAGTTTTTTGAATCAAATGAAAGTCAAATGCATTCAAAAAAGCTAATTAAATTAAATGAAAGCAAAACACATTCAAACAAAGTTTTTTCAATCAAATGAAAGTCAAATTTTTTCAAACAAAGTATTTTGAATCAAATGAAAGGCAAAAACATTTTAACAAATCTAATTGAATTAAATGAATGTCAAACACAATAAATAAGGCCTTTTGAATCAAATGAAAGTAAAATACATTCAGCCAAAGCTTTCTAAATCAAATGAAAGTTAAATGCATAAAAATAAATAATTGAGTCAAATGAAAGTCAAACATATTCAAATAAAGCTTTCTTAATAAAATGCATTCAAGAAAGCTAATTGAATCAAATGAAAGCCAAAAACATTCAAACAAAACTTTTTGAATCCATTGAATGTCAAATGCATTAAAAATGTTAATTGAGTCAAATGAAAGTTAAACTTATTGAAATAATGCTTTTTGAATCAAATGAAAGCCAAACACATTCAAACAAAGCTAAAAGAATCAAATGAATGTCAAACACATTCAAATAATGCCTTTTGAATCAATTAATGTCAAATCATTCAAACAAATCTTACTGAATCAAATGAAAGTCAAATGCATTCAATAATGCTAATTAAGTCAAATGAAAGTCAATCTTATTCACAAAAAAATTTATAAATCAAATGAAAGTCAAACACATTAAAACAAAGCTAATTAAATCCAATGAATGTCAAACACATTAAAACAAAGCTAATTAAATCCAATGAATGTCAAACACAATCAAATAATGCCTTTTGAATCAAATGAAAGTCAAACGCATTCTAACAAAGCAATCTAAATCAAATGAAAGTAAAATGCATTCAATAATGCTAATTGAGTCAAATAAAAGTCAATCTTTTTCAAACAAATTAAATCAAATAAAAGTCAAACACATTCAAACAAAGCTAATTTAATCAAATAAATTTCAAACACATCCAAATAATGCCTTTTGAATCAAATGAAAGTCAAATGTATTCAAACAAAGCTTTCTGAATCAAATGTAAGTCAAATGTATTTAAAAAATCTAATTGAGTTAAATAAAATCCAAGCATATTCAAACAATGCTTTTTGAATCAAATGAAAGTAAAATGCATTGAACAAAGCTAATTGAATCAAATGAAAGACAAACACATTCAAACAAGGATTTTTGAATCAAATGAAACTCAAACACATTCAAACAAAGCCTTTTGAATTAAATGGAAGTTAAATGCATTTAAAAATGCTAATTGAGTTAAATGAGAGTTAAACTTATTCAACCAATGCTTTTTGAATCAAATGAAAGCCAAACACGTTTAAACAAAACTAATTGACTCAAATGAATGTCAAACTCATTTAAATAATGCCTTTTGAATCAATTGAAAGTCAAATATATTTAAACGAAGCTTTTTGAATCAAATGAAAGGTAAATGCATTCAAAAAATCTAATTGAGTCAAATGAAATCCAAACATATTCAAACAAAGCTTTTGAATCAAGTTAGAGTCAAATTCATCAAAAACGCTAATTGAGTAAAATGAAAGACAAACATATATAACAAAGCTTTTTGAATAAAATGAAAGTCAAATGCATTTAAATAAGCCAATTAAGACAAATGAAATCCAAACATATTCAAACAAAGATTTTTGAATCAAATAAAAGTTAAATGCATTCAACAAAGCTAATTGAATCAAATGAATGCCAAACTTATTCAAACAACGATTTTTGAATCAAATTAAAGTCAAACACATTCAAACAAAGCTAATTGACGTATTCAAATAATTCCTTTTGAACCAAATGAAAGTTAAATGCATTCAAACAAAGCTAATTGAGTCAAATGAAAGCCAAACATATTCAAACGAAGCTTTTAAAATTAAATAAAAGCCAAACACATTTAAACAAATCTAATTGAATCAAATGAATTTCAAAGACATTAAAATAATTCCTTTTGAATCAAATGAAAGTTAAATGAATTCAAACAAAGCTTTCTGAATCAAATGAAAGTCAAATATATTCAAAAAAGCTAATCAAGTCAAAAGAAAGCCAAACATATTTAAACAAAGTTTTTTTAATCAAATGAAAGTCAAATGCATTCAACAAATCTAATTGAATCATATGAACACATTTACACAGGGGTTTTTGAATCAAATGAAAATCAAACACATTCAAACAAAGCTTTATGAATCAAATGAAAGTCAAATGCAATAAAAAAATGCTTATTGAGTCAAATGAATGTCAAACTTTTTCAAATAAAGCTTTTGGTATCAAATAAAAGTCAAACACATTCAAACAAATCTAATTGAATTAAATGTCAAACACATTCAAATAATACCTTTTGATTCAAATGCAAGTCAAATGCATTCAAATCAAGCTTTTTGAAACAAATGAGAACAAAATGCATTCAAAAAAGCTAATTGAGTCAAATGAAGCCAAACATATTTAAACAAAGCTTTTTGAATCAAATGAAAGTCATATGCATTCAACAAAGCTATTTGAATCAAATGAAAGTCGACTACATTCAAACAAAAGTTTTTTGCCTCAAATGAAAGTCAAATGCATTCAACAAAGCTAATTGAATCAAATAAAGGTTAATCATATTCAAACAAAGCTTTTTTAATCAAATGCAAGTCAAATGCATTCAACAAAGCTAATTGAATAGAATAAAAGCCAAACACATTCAAACAAATCTTTTTGACTCAAATTAAAGTCCAACACATTTAAACAAAAGCTTTTTGAATCATATGAAAGTTAAATGCATTCAAAAATGTAATTAATTCAAATGAAAGTCAAACACATTTTAACAAATCTAATTATATCAAATGAATGTCAAACACATTAAATAATGCCTTTTGAATCAAAGGAAATTAAAATACATTCAAAGAAAGCTTTCAGAATCAAATGATAGTCAAATGCATACAAAAAAGCTAATTGAGTCAAATGAAAGCCAAACATATTTAAACAAAGTTTTTTTTAATCAAATGAAAGTAAAATGCATTCAGCAAAACTAATTTAATAAAATTATTGTCTAACACATTCAAACAAAGCTTTTTGAATCAAATGAAAGTCAAATGCATTAAAAAATGCTAATTGAGTCAAATGAAAGTCAAACTTATTCAAATAATGCTTTTTGAATCAAATGAAAACCAAACACATTAAAAAAAAGCTAAATTAATCAAATAAATGTCAAACACATTCAAATAATGCCTTTTAAATCAAATGAAAGTCAAATGCATTCAAACAAAGTTTTCTGAATAAAATTAAAGTCAAATGCATTCATTAATGCTAATTGAGTCAAATGAAAGTCAATCTTATTTAAACAAATATTTTAGAACCAAATGAAAGCCAAACACATTCAAACAAAGCTAATTTAATCAAATGAATCTCAAACACATTCAAATAATGCCTTTTGAATCAAATGAAAGTCCAATGTATTTAAACAAAGCTTTTTGAATAAAATGAAAGTCAAATGAATTCAAAAAAGCTAATTGAGTCAAATGAAATCCAAACATATTCAAACAAAGCTTTTTGAATCAAATGAAAGTTGGCAACCTTGGGGTTTTTCTGTTGACTTTCTCTCTCTTTTGGTGATTTTAATGGCTTTTTGCTGAAGTTATTTTTCACACTCTGCTTGATTGATCATGGCTCGCTGGAAAAAGCAAGCAACACAATTGCCCCCAAACCCCATCATTTAGATCCCTAGCTCCCTCAAATCATAGTAGATTGAAGAATCTGAATGTGATCTCTGACTCGATTATAGATGTTCCGGAAGTTTCAGAAGTTGAAGATGAACTCGAGATGGTTACTCCACCTGCTCATCTTGTTCATCCACCAGTTGGGAAGGTTACTTAAGCTGATTTGAAGGCTCTTGAACACAATCATCAAGTTTTTCAAAGCCAATTGCACATAAAACTAGTGAAACAGTACCTACGATTTCATCTTCTTTGGTTACTGTTCCATTGGTTAATTCGACGAATGATTGTTCTAATGATCCTAATGCGGTGTTCTTGGGTCTGAGGATCCTCTTGAACAACTAAATCACCTAAACCAGCTAGCAGTTTAGAGAATCAGGCAAATTTGTTTCGTGGAAAATTGACTACTAAATGGAATGCTCTGTCCTTTGTAGCTCCAATTATTAGGAGTGGTAAGCCTGTGGTTCAACTCTAGGCTTCAGATCTTGAAGCAAGTAACTCTAAATGGTGCAATGCTATTTTATTTTTTGTGGTGGGTTATTACCCCACAATTGTTGTTGTTCATAGATTTATTACCCAAAATTGGAGTACTTTTGCAAAGCCTGAAATCTTTTGGCATGATGATGGTTACATCATAATCAATTTATGTTCTAACGAAGATAAAAAATTAACTTAAGCTCAGGACCTCATATGTTTAATAGTAAACCTGCTATTGTTAAACCATGGAGTGATAAGTTTAACTTCTAAGCTAAAATCCTTAGAACTGTGCCTTTATGGGTTAGGATTCCTAATTTACCTCTTAATTACTGGGGGCAAATACTTTGAGTAGGATAGGTAGTATACTTAGAGTGCCTTTGTTTGATGATAAGTGTACTTCCAGGCAACTCAAAGTGTCTCCTTTTAGATTGCTAATAGAAGTTGACATTACTAGGCCTTTACCTAGTGTTGTAGATGTTGAGATCCCTATAGGTGAGATGCTTGAACTAAAAGTTCAGTTTGAGTGGTCTCCCCCTTTTTGTAAAAAATGTTATAAGGTTGGGAATGATTGTAGTGCTCCTAAGCTTAAAGTACCTGCTAAACCTAAAGCTCAGCAGAATGACCAAGCAGATAAATCCCATAGAAGAAAATTTGAGTTCCAAAGAAACCTATTCATGCTCCTGCAACTTCTAGTTTTGATGGTTCAGTTTTTGTTCCTACAATTTCTAATCAGGGACAGGATAAGACTCAGGCTCCTGCTCCTCAACCTTTGTTCACCCCTACTCATACATCTTTTGCTGCTTACTCTGATGCTGATTGGAGGGTGGTAAGCAAGAGATCTAGGCCTGTTGTGACTGGTGGGCAGCAAGACGTTCCTAGAACTATGAACACCTATACTGCTTTATTGGAAAATTATATTGCTAATGTAGACACCTAAAAATGTCTCTCCAAAACCAAACCCGATGATGAACAACCTTTCACCGCCATTATTGGTCGGGTTGAGTATTTAATCTTGGAGTGCTTAAATCCATATTTCCATTTCATAAACCAACTCAATTTCTATCCCATTTCCCTAAACCATAACTTATTATCCTCTTTTCGTGCCTTTAAACCTAAAATAATTCATTTCGTGTCCTTTAAAATCATTCATTTCGTGTCCTTTTTATAAAAACGTTTAGTCCAGTTTATTTTGGTCCATTTTCTGGGTTCAATGATTGAATAGTTGGATGGGGATTTAAAAGAGCTTTCCAACGATATATTATAATTCCAAATCCGAGTTATAACGAATAAGTTATGACCAAAATATTAAGCCGAGCCCTAACCGAACCTAAGCCCACCTTTGTTTTTTGGTAAATAGGAAAATTTTATTACCAAAAGGAAAAGTTACAACTCACAAGAGCTAAGTTATAACAAGCACCAAACCCCACAAGACCTGCAAAACAGGCCAACTACCCACCAAACAGTTCAAGTTCTTTCTCTAGCCACCTTCTAGGAAGGGTTCAAGAGAAAGAGACAGGAACAAACTGAACTCAAGCTTCTAGCCACCTTCTAGGAAGGGTTCTGAAAGCCAGGCCCAGGAACACAAAAAAAACACAGAGCAGGACAAACCTGCAAACAACACACACTAAAACAGACCTGCAAACTGTAAAAAGAAATAAAAGCCCCTACATAGACTCAGCTGCAAAAAGCAGCAGGACTAGACAAAATAGGCATTACAACAACTCTGAGAATACAGATCAAAACAGCAAACTAAACTCAAGACTGGTAAAACCAGGCTAAGCACCAGAAAAGACAAACTTGCCAAAGAAACAAAATTACAGGATCAGCAAATTCATGTCAGAACTAGAACATCTACAGGCAACAACAAATAATACATCTCTGAGCACAGCTTCACTAGATTTGCAACTCCTGTAAAGATCAAGGAGTTTCTCTGTAACCAAATATGATAAACAGTTTCAGCAAAACACATTCCCAACAGTCTGGTTTTAGCTCTATCCTTCTTGCAGATTTTAGACCTCAGCATCAAAGCTTAAAATAGACCTGTTGCAACCAAAGATAGCCAAAATCCTTTCCCAAATGACCTTAGTAAAACTGCATTCAAAAAATAAATGCGCAACTGACTCAGGATGAAGATTACAAAGGAAAAAAATAGGATCACAATGCATATTCCATAGAATCAATCTATCTTTTGTGAGTAATATGTTCCTATTAGCAAGCCAGAGAATGAACAAGCTCTTAGGGGTAGCAGAATTGTTACAAAAGAGTCTTCTCCATGGAACTTTGGGAGCTTGAGTCATAACCTTCAAATAGATCTTCTTAATCTTGATTTTATTACCTTGTTTAACAGCATCCCAACCACCAATATTATCAATAACAGTTCTACATTTCAGAATTCTACTCAGCACCCAAGAACACTTCCTAAGGGCATGTTTATTCCACCAAGGTTTATCTTTGAAATAATAGGTATGAACCCATTTCACCCATAAATTGTCAGCTTTATGAGCAAGATCCCAAAGAAGTCTGGAGATAGCAGCAACATTCCACTCAGGAAGAGAAAGAAGATTCCAGTCACCATTAACTTTTGGGAGATAAACTTGAGACCAAGAGATAAGGGATTTATTTGAGGGATTAGCTTTCCCAGTCTAAATAAAAGCTCTAAATCTAGCTTCAATTTCTCTTAGGATATTTTTAGGAAGAATGAAGATTTGAGCCCAATAAGTTTGTATGCCAAACAGGACACTCTTGACTAATTGGAGCCTACCAGCATAGGAGAGGTGCCTAGCAGACCAACCATTAATCCTAACAGTCACTTTATCAACAAGGGGCTTGCATTGAGCAATGGTCAACTTTTTAGAAGAAAGAGGAACCCCTAAGTACTTGAATGGAATAGTACCAGGAGCAACCCCAATCAAATCTCTCATCTCATCCTGCTCAGAATCAAGGAGCCCACCAAAATACACCTCACTTTTATCTAAGTTAGCTGATAAACCAGAAGCTTCAGAAAACTTAGAGAAAGCTTGGAAAAGCAAAGAGACAGACTGAGCATCTGCTCTAGAGAACAACAACAAATCATCAGCAAACATAAGATGGGTCAACCCCATTTTCTCACACCTAGGGTGATAATTAAAATCAAGATTCAGCTGAAGCTCAGAGAGACATCTGGAGAGGTACTCCATTCCAATGGAAAAAATAAAGGGATACATGGGATCACCTTGCCTAAGACCCTTCTTTGCAGGGAATGGATTGGAAGGAATACCATTGATCAAAATAGAGAAGGAGACAGAAGACAAACAAGCCATAACTCAGGCAATAAACTGGTTATGAAAACCAATCTCAGACATAACAGTCTTCAGAAAACCCCATTCAACAGAGTCATAAGCTTTTTAGATCAATCTTCAACAAGCACCTTGGAGAGAAAGGAACTTATGTCCATATCCTTTAATAAGCTCAATGGCTAACAAGATATTGTCACCAATATGCTTCCCTGGGATAAACCCAGCTTGAGAGCCATCAATAACCTCAGAAATCACATTTACAAGCCTTGAAGTAAGGATTTTGGAAATAAGCTTATAAAGAACAGAACATCAAACAATTGGCCTAAAATCTTTAACAAGGGAAGGATTCTGAACCTTAGGAACTAAGGTTACAGTTGTGCAGTTCCATTGCCTCAGCATAACACCAATATTGAAAAACTCCATAACACCAGCATAAACATCATTTTTCACAACATCCCAAGTTTTCTTGAAGAAGTGAGAATTAAACCCATCAATTCTAGGAGCTTTGGAGCTATCAATATCTTTCAAAGCTAAGTCAATTTCCTCAGTGGAAATAGGAGCAATAAGAGACTGCTAAGAATCTCTAGAAAGCTGAGCACCTCTTCTCACAGTACCAAGATCAACCCCAGGGAGGGAATCAGCATTGGAGCAAGAAGAGCTTTATAAAAACATGTGATTTCTTCTTCAATAGCAGCAGGGGTTTTCAGTAAAGTGCCATCACTAGTAAAAAGAGTATCAATCCTATTCCTGCCTTGTCTTTGTTTCATAACAGCAAAAAAATATTTGTTGTTACTATCACCAAGTTGAAGCCAATCCACTATGGATTTCTGCCTGTAAATACTTTCCTGAACATTCATCCAGTATTTAACAGTTTGAATAGAATCTAACTCCTTGGAGTGAAAATCAACACTGTTAACATCATGTATAATCTGTTGCTGAATGTCAGTTAGAGCACTCTGAGCAGCTTCAACCTTCCCAGATCATTACCAAATTTCTTAATGTTCGTAGACTTAAGAGAAGTCTTAACTTGTTTAAGTTTAGACCATACCTTATGCATTGCATTACCAGGAACAAAACATTGCCAAGCAGAATCCACAATATCTAGAAAACTTTCATAATCAGCAAGACTATTAAGGAACCTAAAAGGTCTCCCTTTGCCAGGCTGAGAATGAAAAATATCAAAGAGAATAGGATTGTGATCAGATAGAGAGGGGGGGGGGGGGGAATAAATAGCTTCAACATGCCCATAAGTAACCATCCAATCCTGGTTAACAATACCTCTATCAATTCTAGAATAAGTCCTAGGACCATTATGAGCTTTTGTTACACCAAGAGAAGAAGGAACCCTTACTCTTAATTTCAATCAAAGCCAAATAATCAATAAAGCTCTAAAAATCCCTGGTTTCATAATCAGTAACCACTGCCCCATTAATTCTATCATCACAAGATAGAATAGAGTTAAAGTCACCAGCACATAACCAGGCTCCAGAGATACCAGTCAACTGCCTTAGACTAGCCCACAGAGGTAGCTTATCCTGAACAGTATGTAACCTATACACAAAGGTAATGAAAACCTGAGTTTGCAGATCTTTTGTAGTGATCAAACAATGAACTAACTGTTCTTGTGAAGAAAGAACAACTAAATTGAGAAGATCAGCTTTCCAACCTATCCAAATTCTACCCCTTGGAGAATTAGCATAGTTAGCAAACCAAGTCCAAGCATCCCCAAATTTCCTCTGAATCTTGAAAGAATTATGTTGTTTTACTTTAGTTTCAATAAGGTAAAGAACATCACACTTCTGATTAGAAAGTAGCTTCCTAACAGCAGCCACATTCCCAGGGTCATTAAGACCCCTAATATTCCATGAGAGAACTATCATGACCCTAAAGGGGGATTCCCATCACCCCCGTTAGGTTCATTAGTTTCATCTGCAATTTCAACACCATCAGAATCAAAAGTCAAAGGTTGATAAACATTAGAACTAGAGACATGGAAATTGATCTGTCTGTTGGCTCTTTTCTTGGATTTCTTGCCAGGAATTTGCCAATCATCATTGTTCTGAGTCTGAGGGGGTGGTGTAACTTCCTTAACAGGAGCAGGAACCTTAGTAGCCTCAACAGGAGCCTTGGTAATCTTCTTAGGAACCCAGACTTTCTTAGCCTGAGTTTGAGTGGTCTTTAGATCATCTATTTGATTTTTTTTAACAGGTGGAGGCTTGGAACAGTCATGCCCAACCTTATCACATTTCTTACAAAAAGGAGGGGTCCACTCATAATGCACTGTGATCTCAATCAATTCACTAGCAGGGCTCTCAACCCAAACAGAGCTAGGCAAAGCCTTAGTAACATCAATTTCAACAAGAAGTCTAGCAAACGAAACCCTTAGCTACCTAGAGGTACACTCATCAGCACAGACTGGAACACCAAGTAGACTACCAATTTTGCGGGTTTCAGCTCCCCAATAGTTCAATGGCAAATTAGGAAGTTAATCCATAGAGGAACAGTTCTCAATATTTCAGCATGGAAATCAAATTTGTCAGACCACGCTTTAACAATGGTTGGCTTACCAAAGAATATGTGAGGACCAGAACATAAAATAGCATTCTTATCATCATTAGATTTCAGATTGATTATAAAATATCCCTTATCATGCCAAAATATGTCTAGTTTAGCAATGTTACTCCAATTATCAGCAATAAACTTATGAAATGCAGAAATAGTGGGAGAGTAAACAACAACATAAAAGATAAGAGAATTACCCCAGTTTTTGTTGCCCTCAAAAATATCAGTAGAGCTAAGCTTAGCAATCGATTTTCCATCTCTGATCTCAAGAGCAATGAAAGACAGAGAGGTCCCTTTTGCATTGAGCTTCCCTTTGAATAAATCCTTCCATTCTTCAGGAGCTTCAGGGTCTTGATTCAAGCTATCAAGAGCCTCAGAAGAGCCAGGAATAACAGCAACAGGGATTATCGGGCTTTGATTCTGACCAGAAACCAATGGAACAGTAACCGTAGAAACCCTAGTTACTGTTCCATTGGTTCTAGTCTGAGATTGAGCAATCGAACCTCTATAAGACCTTTCAAGTATTATTACTTCACCTCTAGATATCATTCCACCAGATGGATGCACCAAATGTGGAGGAGGAGTGACCAGCTCATCTTCTTCAGCAATCGGTTCAGATGAAGAAGTTCCAGATTTTCTCAGCTTATCCAGAATATTATCAATAGGGGCATTGTTTTGTGGAAGAGGGGTTGAAGATTTCTTCTTACGAGCCATGATGATGAGGAAGCTAGATAAAGATCCCGACCTAGCAAGCAGAAATCGCCATGGAAATCGCCTAGACCTCCAACTTCAAGTTACCTAAGCCCACCTTACCTACGACCCAATGATCATGTGGAGGGTCCAAATTAGTTAATCCCATTCCTAAACCAATTAGGATTAATTAGAAGCTTCTATAAGTTTCTAAAAGATCTTAATCATCCTTTTTGAAAAGATAAGATTAAAGAGTTTGAAATTGAATAAAAACTTTTCTTTTTAAAAGTCTTAATTCTATTCGAATTGAAAGACATTCAAAGATAGTCAGATATGATTTTAGTACCTCATATTTTTTATCCAAATTTTATATGTTGGATATCCCTTGAAATTATCTTTCCAATGATATATTATAATATCAATTCCAAGCTATAACAGAAAAGATATGAATAAAATGTCAAACTCTATCCAAAACTGACACCGTCTCACTATTTTGGCCATATATTTTATTCTACAAAATATTTTAATCTGATTCTAATTGGGATAGAAATTAGACTTCAATAGCGTTCCAACGATATCTTTTTTTATCTTATTCCAATATCTGGATCAAAAGATATGATAAAAACAAAAACCGCAAAACTGCAGTCTATTGAGCTTTATTCCTAATTAATTCGGATCTTATCTTTTTTTTCCGACCCTTCTTTTTTCTCTATAAATAGAGGTCATATCTCCTCTTTTTCAATCATCAACAAGCTTGATCATCAAATAATTCTCTTCTCCCTCTTTAGCCTAAACACTAGCCTCACCATTCTTTCACTATTCATTCCTTTAAGTACTCCAAGGAGTCCATATAATACCCAAATTTTTATTTTCCTTTATGATTCATCTCCATTCCCTCCATTCATGTCTAGCATAGGTTTTCCATTTCGAATTCTTATATGTTTTATGTGTTTCGTTCACCTTTTTCCATTAATAAAATGAGCAAATTTCTTTTACATCTCGATCATAGCATTCATCATTCATTCTAAAAAAATAATATATATATATATATATATATATATATATATATATATATATATATATATATATATATATATATATGTAGAAATAGGATCATATGAGACCACACCCCTTATGTGAGAACACTATTATATGTGAGAACTCATTATAACCATTGGATCAATTGCATCCAACGGTCACAATACAATCCCGGTTTAAACAAAACCATTTTATTTCAAAACACTTTCTGCATTTTTTCTCTCTCCTCCTTCCTCTTTCACGCGCAATTTCTCTCTCCTCATTCAATTTCATTCGGTTTTCTTCTCTCTTTCTCTCTGAAATTTCATCACAACTTCTCCAATCTTCATCAATTGTTCGTCAATGTAAGTTTATTGTTTATTTTTTGTTGTTTTCCAATTAATTTTTAGGTTACATTCATTGTTTATCTTCATTTTGATTTTTGTTTTATTTGTGCTGATTTCATCTCACTAATTTTTGGTTACTTTGTGTCGATTATGTTTTAGTTTTTTTTTTTTTTTCATTTTTGAGTAATTATCAAGTTCATTTTAGTTTATTTTGCCTGAATTTAGGTTTTAACATGTATTCTTATTTTGGTTATGTATTTTCGAAATTATGTTGTGGTTTTGTTGCGATTTTTGCTCGATTTTGTTGCGATTATGTTGTAGTTTTGGTTTGGTTTTGAGTGCTGTTAAAGCTAGTATAAAGCTTCCTTCGAACATTCAAGGTAATCCAAACAGTTAAACCCCTGTTTT